ATATATATATATATATATATATATATATTTCAAATTAGGAACGATACTTTAAGAAGTACTTTTTCCTACCATATCCAAAAAGATATTACACACTATTTATACCGTATAATTGTTTAAACTCTATTCCTGGATTTGTTTGTTTGGACTACACCATATACATCCAACTCTCTTACACCACTAATATTCTGTTCTATGGTGAAATAAACCATCAACATCTTTGTTTTACATGTGTTGAAATAATGAATAACTTAGAAGTTTAATAAGATGGGCATAGAAGATACATTACACATACACAAGAATGTATATTTTGTTTCCAATGTAATAAAATGACATAACTACAAACACTCACTTCTATAAATATAATGATGCATAATTGTTTATCTGTTTACTTTAAAATACGCTATTTTATGAAAGATTAAAACAAATATATATATATATATATATAAATACTGGACAATTAACCAGCATTAAAGGTAATATAATATCTCTTAAACAGTAACTTTACTAATACTATAAGGTGGACCAAAAGTAACTGCATTTACATTTACTTTTTTCACGTTTTTGGAATAAAACTACAGTAATTATTTTGCCAATCACTATGAATACTGAAAACTAAAATACACAAAAGGTCTATGGATAATTTGATATTGTACCAGCTTTGAATGGTATGAGATTTTCGGGACATGCTGTACACTATACCTTCTTTCTAAAATGTACCGCAGAATGTTCCAGACACGGGATATAAAAATAAACTTATTGTGATAACTAGGACTTAAATTACCATTTGTATTTTACAGACCAGCTGTCTATATTTAGCTCCATGTTATATTTGGTATTACAAATGCTTAAGACAATACAGCTGTATTAATTCCCCTCCTTCAGAGCGAAGGAAATATTAACTCTTATACGTAAACTCAGGACTTATTTCTTCTGCCTACTTTACTGAGTATAACAAGTTACACAACTCCAAAACACAGCTCTCTCAGATAATAGTCCAAGTCTTTAAGTTCTAACATATTAAGATTAGCATCCTTTCAAACAGTTATCGACACATCTTCTTAGGAGGAAAATAAAATCTAATCTGTAACTGTATTTTATACTGTAATTTTAATCTTGTCTTACCAGAAGACTTTGGCACACTACAAAATGTCAGTTATGTTCACTTAAATAATGACGTCCATTTTGAATTATGTTCACGGTTTTTCAGCATTGTGGTGCAAATGGCTTACAGGGAAAAAAATCACTGAATCCACAACCTATAGTTTGATTTTAATGCTTGAAAGGGGTAGTTACGTTCTTCGACTGGATGGGAAAACAGGAGGCGATCTGGTTTTACCATGCGTTTCGCTCGAAGTACTGGAACTAACTTCATCAATAAACTTTTCACTCCGCTTCGTCATCCGCTTTGAACGTTGTCTCCACCTACAAACAATAAGAAATGTTGCGAAGAATACAACTGCAACGGCCGATATAACAGCACCAATAATGATGTTTCGTATTGTGGCATCGTGAAGTTTTTCTCCATTTGAATCATCAAAACTACTTTCAGTTAGCCCATGTTCTTTTATTATAGTGGATGTTTTGTCTTGCAAAAACGTAGAACTCTCGGCTACATTAGGAACTGTGGTGAAGTCATTCGTATGCGATAACTGGTCCAGTTTTGTACTAATGTCGTCAGTAATGGGTGATGAAGCTTGAGCTGCCATGGTCCTAGCTATAGCAGCTGTTGTTGCACTTTCTTGTTTTACACTCAATGTATAACCTTCAAATATGAATCTCCCTCTAGGATAAATAGCCGTTCTGCTTTTGTCTTCTATAATGCTTCGCCATCTATTGTGTCCCTCTGAGTTACCCTCCACCGGCTGTTCATATGGAGGCATAAAACGGAAATGTCTTTCTTTATTTGTTTCTCTTGGAACCTCTGATGACCTAGTCGTTTCGTAAAACGAAACAGACTCTTTCGGGAAATTATTATACCTTTTATTTTCAACTGTTCTTCGGTCAAGAGGTAAATGTGTAATATCAAAATGGCGTTTTGTTTCATCTGAAGATAGCTGATGGTTTGGGAGAGTAGTTTCTGTTTGGGTAGCAAAATCTGGAAAACTCAAATTTCTTGGAGGAACAGTTCCTTCTAACAAGTCCACAAAAGGATTGTGCCCAGTGTCGTTAGTAAAACTACTAATATGTTCTTTTTTGTTGCCTAGCTTGAAACCATGAGGTAGCGGCACAGTAGTGCTAAACTCTGGTTGGACAAACTTCTCTCCGTTTGGGTTAGCTTTTAGAGCGTGTTTAGTTGACCTTCCCACCCATGGAATCAATGTAGCTGCAGATCCCTCCCCTAGGCTAGATGAAGATGGACGAGGAAAGGCTGTACTTCTGGAAGCAACTGTCAACAACAGTAGAAACAGCCAGCAAATGTACATCATGACCAAATCTATGTACGACTAGAAAAAATAAAATAAAAAGAATTAGAAAGAAACCTTTTAGAAATAATTTTGTATTACAATAATTAAATTCACATTTCCATTAAACCAAACTTTCAAATATACAACAATAAACGTTGAATTTTATGAAATTACTAAGCTTTAAAATATATATATTTTTCTATCTTTAAGAAGTGACAATATTTATCAAACCTTATCAGGGAGTTAAGCTGGTTAAAGTTTACTTCTTTAAAAAAAAAAAAAAAATTACACGCACGTTTTACAAAATAAAAATTACCATCACTTAAGTGCCCTACCTGGTATACAATCCAACCCAACTAAGCTTGAAAACGTAGAGTAATGCTTCCTTTTAAAACCTTATCTAAATACAAACTGTCTCTTGTGACCTACAGCTCATCACACTGCCCCTCTCTCTTTTTCTCTCCTCTTCTGCCTTCCGGTGTGTCTCGTCACTAATCAACCTCCAGATTCAACCTACTTTTATCCGAGGACTAGGAGCGAGGGGCGTGGTCATAACTTACGCTATAGCACTGACCCGCGGAAGTTACACGGCGCCTACTGGCCACGTGCATCTCTCGTCTCGTATGTCAGCCTTACCCCTTGCCATTGTCACTATGACAACCAATCCTTTGTCTTTGGTGGCTTGTGGTGCAGGCTCTTTCAGCAATCTTTGTAACGTGAGAGCTCATCTCTATAGATCCTCATGAAACACTGAGGTAATTAACAATTTTTCAGACACGAATTGGCCGTGTGTGGCGCCGGAAACCCATATGGGCACAAACTTTAACCACCAAAAAAGAAAGCAGGGTTGACAGTTTCTCAGTGTTTGTTCAATAAACTTATCTAGGGCGGCGCCCAAGAACAGAGAGTGAAGGGGCCTGTTGTAAAGAAGGAACCATTGTGAAGTTTATTTTACCACAATTACAGAAACTGCAAGGTCTCTTGAACATACTCTACAAACCCGTCAAGCCAAAATCGTTTAGTACAATGGAATAAAAAAAACAAAAACAGATTGCACACACACTCTAAGCCTTCTTTGGATATACTATCTAGAGTGGCGTCTAAGAAATATATAAGAGTACAGTATTCGGGGTCCCATCGTAATGAATGAAGGAAACACTTGTTCCAACACTTTACAAAAATCTGGATTTTGGAAAGATCTCTTAGATAATCACGCCGTAATTCACAAGTATGTCAAACTGAAGAAGAAAGAAAGAAAGAAAGAAAAAAAACACGACGGGTTGTTCCACTAGCGAAACACAATACACTTTGCTGAACTCAAAAAAAAAGAAAACATTTATAACAAGCTACTTTTTTCATCTAAAATATCTGAAAAGTGCACAAACACACAATATGCAGTAATAATAGAAGTAAACCACGTATTGTTACATGTTAGTTATGTTGTATATTTTTCATCTCTTATATGAGTTTTAAAATATTTCAAAGACTTGTACTACCGGTTTCACCGCATATAAAACAACAACAGCTAAATGTGTATACGAGTGTAAAGAAGATAATACCATCAAAACGATGCCCCCCCCCCCTCAAAAAAAAAAGAAAAAAGAAAGACAATACTACGTTCAAATCAATTGTTTCAGACGTTCGAATACAAGGAATGTTACATGTAATAGCTATTTTTTTTTTTACAAAGCTTTTCTACAAAACTTTTAGTTGAAACTTTCTACATTAAACGGTTTCACGCCTAACGTAACCAAGACATTTGACCAATGGAAAGAGAAACAAGCATTGAACCAAAAGTAGAAGATATATATATTTCCAACGTATACAGACTAGGCACTAATTCCGTTTACAATTGTTGTGTTCTGTACTTTCAACAGAATTAACCAAAGTACCAATGTTTGTTTAATAAATCAATATATATATTCTACCGATCGAAGTAATGCACGCTCTGTATTATGTTTACCACGTCATTGTTATTGGCTAAGTAAAAGTAGTGTGGGCCAGCAGCGCCATTTGAGATTTGGGGGAGGGGAAAATTCTTACGGACAATTTTGGATTTTTCTGAAGTGAAAAATTCAGTAATATGTGGCTTAATTGATGCTGGATTGTGATGTAGCTTAACAACACATACACAAAAACCGGTATTTTATTGTTAGGTTCTTCTTAGGGAGGGGATTTCCCTTCCCTCCCCCCAAAAATGACGTTCCCGGGGTGGGCACTGTATCCAGTTTATAACGTTGTTATATTATACTAATAAAAGTAATTTAGATTATTCATTTTGTTTATGACTAAAAGTAATACAGACACGGGCTGTATCCTGTTTATAATGTTACTGTTATATTTCAGATATAGAGCCAGTGGGATACAGTTGTTAGCCTCCGGTGCGTTCGGACCCCCCGTCCCACCAAACATGCT